GTGAGCAAAAATTAACGGAAGGACTAAAAAGGGGTTGGATTTGTGAACAGTAAAGACCAAAAAGGGGATTTTTTCGGTACAGGGACTAAAAAAGGACTTTTTCCTATAGTAGATGGACCAAAAAGGGTATTTAACCTTTCAGATTTGATCAGAGTAATTTCTTAAAGGGTTGAGTTGAATTAGGCAGTCCTCCTCCTCGATTGGATGGTGTTTCAATGCGTCACCGAGTTGAAAACCTTCCTGATGTGTTGTTTGGGAAACCCTTTGAAAACCAAATAATTAAGGGTTTTGGGAACATCCATAATTGGGTGAAAAGGTGTTTTTTTTTGAAAACTTCCTTATTGGCATGATAATCTTATTTGACATAATCTTGATGTAATGCATTGTGAGAAAAAAAATTTTGATAATATAATAAACACTATTATGAATGACAATAAAACAAAAGACAATGGGAAAGCAAGATTGGATTTAACCATTTATTGTGACCGAAGAAAACTGCATATGGGATATAATATGCATGGTAAGCTTGTGAAACCTAATGCTAGTTATGCACTGACATCTGAAAAACAAAAGCTTCTATGTGCATGGCTAAAACAATTGCCCTTTCCAAATGGGTTTGCTTCCAACATATCAAGATGTGTCAACTTAAATGAGCCCAGGTTATTTGGGATGAAAAGTTATGATTGTCATGTTTTCATGCAACGACTAATTCCAGTTGCTTTTCGTGGTTTATTGCCATCTGCTATTTGGGGTCCTTTGATCGACATTAGTAACTTCTTTCGTTCACTTTGTTCCTCGGTCATTAAAGTTACTGAGATGCAGAAGTGGGAGGCAAAGATTGTTGAAATAATTTGTAAGTTAGAAATAATATTCCCCCCAACATTCTTTGATTTTATGGAACATCTAGCAATTCATCTTCCATATGAAGCCAAAGTTGGTGGTCCTGTTCAATTTCGTTGGATGTACCCATTTAAAAGGTAAAATATACAAAGAAATTGATTGATAATTTTAAAACTTACTTTTAATTACTTTTTTATAAATTAATCTTATCAGTATTTCTTTTCAGGCGCATGCGCAAACTTAAGAGTACCATAGGGAATAAAAATCATGTTGAGGCATCAATTGTTGAGGCATTTATATTATACGAGATATCCCACTTTTGCTCTCGTTATTTTGGGGATGATGTTGAGACAAGTTGGAATCAGCCTCCAAGGAACTATGGTGGCATTGGAACCAATGTCCCAAGTAAGTTATCCGTATTTTGTTTCCCTGGTGAATCAATAGGGGCCCATTCACGTATACGATGTTTAACATTGGAGGAGAAAGATGCAGCTGAACTATATGTCTTGCTAAATTGCAAGGAGGTTGATGTTTGGGTAACGTAAGTTTTACTTCTTAGGAAAATAAGAATTACACGATGTTTAATAGCCTATATGATTTTCATAACGTTTTAATTAATAAATAAATGTTATTTTACAGTAAATTTGAGGAAGAAGTTGGTGCAAATTTGTCACATGAACAACTACAAAGATTGCGAACAAATAATTTAGTTCAATGGTTTAAAAATATGATAATGAATTGTTATATATTATTTTCTCAAATTTTTAATTAAATGTTAAATATTACTAAATTAATTTTTTTTTCAAATATAGGTGTTTAGTGGACAATATGAAATCAATGAACAACTTATCCACCTTGCAGTTGGCTTG